CTATTTAAATTAAAGCTAACTAAACATGAAACATAGGAATCAATAATCATGTATATTTTCGTACAAAAAAACATCTTTTGCAACTTATTTAGCTTATATTTTGGACCATAAGACAGTGGACCGGAAAATACGTTGCAATCCAAATTTAAAAAACGATTTTTAGAAAAGAATCTAAATATAAATTTCAAATTATTACTTATTTTATTTATTGACAAGATAATTAGTACTGGCAATTTATAAAATTCTAGGGGAATTACCCATCAAGTAACATTTTATTGAGGTGCATTAAAATAAAATTACAAGTAGCATACTTTTTAAAATTGATCTTTTCTATTCATATATTTACCTGCGATATGAAATGGTATTAACGGTCATACATTTTTACAACCCAAATATTAATACTATGTAATCACAATAAAATAACAATAGTTCTTATCAGTTGACATTTTTTTGAAATTATATATATATGTCGGAGTATTTAAGACAACATCACCTGATCAAACTTATCGCTGATGTAGATCACTAGCTCTGAGATTGCAGAAGAATTAGTTTACTAAGTTTATTTACTATTGTTAGTGGTTATCTGTATTATTTCCTAACATATATATATTTACTTTGTTTTTTTATTATTACTGTATATATTTTTTTTTGAACGAATGATGCAATAAACATTATTATTATTATAACATTAAATATTAGTTAAAATGATGTGGATTTTTTGGTATTTTTTTTTAGCTGCTTTATGATAAACTATATTCCTTTGAGAAAAAGAAATGTTTTGAACCTATCATAATATTCTTACGATTTGTTCGGAATATAGACTGTAGTTAATACTGAAGATGAGAAGATAAATCACAACACTTTTAAGATATTTAAGAAGTATTGGGTTGTCCGGAAAGTTCGTGCCGATTTTTATTAAGTAAAATTTTCGATGCCTAAATATATCAGAATTGTTAAAAATAATTAATTTGTGTACATATTATGAAAAGTAACATTTCAACCGTCTTTAGATGAAAGTTTGATTCGCATCAAATGGTTTGTGTCAGATTTGTAGATGAAATAACTAAAATATATTCTGCTTACGAAAAAGTTGATTTAGTTAAATGAATCTTAGGAACATAATTCTCTAAATTTAGAGCTGATGATTTCAGCCTCAAAATTCTGATAATAATAATGATGAAATCAAAACATTAATTTACAATAACACGACACGTGAATAAGCAGAGCTATTAAAAATATCAAAAACAACTATCCACAAACGTTTTTGAAGCTTGCTTACATAAACTGTTAAGATATATGAGTTTTGCACAATTTAATAGACAAATATCACGACAATATCAGTACTTATAAAGGGTGTCCCAAAATTAACTCAAGATTTGAATTAAATAGAAAATACAGTTTTTAGTCAAATTGATTTTTTTTGAGTTGCCAACACTTTACTGCACAAATCGCGGCAAATTCAAATCTTGCGTTAATTTTGAAACACTCTTTATATGTCTTTTACTATTAAATAAAAATTGTTGGAGTTGGACATAGTTTTATTTGTTCACCCGTAGTATTCACCAATGCACATTCCGATTTCCACAAATTTGGATCTTTGCAAAATTCTATTAACTGCAAGAATGATTAATTTTTAATCGAAATAAAAAAACACCTATAGAAGTTTTTTTGACGAAAATCCTAATAAATTCTGGAATGATGAAGAAAGGTTTACAGATCAAAAATGGTACATACATAATTCAAAATTGATATATCTATATATGTATATAAGTTTTGGTTTTTAATTTTTGTGAAAAATCGCCACGAACTTTTCTGAATTTATATAGAATAGTAGTATTTTTCAAGCAATTACCACTTTAAAATTGAAATTCTTCATACAAAACATATAATAATTTGTAAATTATTTTACTATTGTGTTATGGATTCAAACATAATTATTATGTATATTGTAATATTAACAAAATGTATATTGTATTATCAATTAATTAGTTTGATTTATATTTGTATTAAAATTTAATATGTTACAATTATAACAGAAAGTTGGTTTGTGTTAAAAGAAATCCTCGACTATCATTTATAATTAATACGCGGGTTTTGGGTATCTGTATTTACACTGAGTTGTATATATGTAAATTATGGCGGAATACCGAAAGATCGATTAATGTGCATGGACAGGTCGAGTGGTAATTTATTGCTACGTAAATCACGTTTGATGAAATCCGGTACGTGAGAACTTCTGAAATTTTCATAATCAAATAACAGAGTAGAAATGGAATATTCGCCGTAGTTTTATCCCATTAATATTATAAAGCTCGAGAGCATTACTTACGTACATTTCTCGCTGGAATTAAATTGAAAATATAGAGAACTCTTTCGATTCACGTGTATTGGACATTAGTGCCATTATTGAAATGCACACAAATCATCGCATTTATTATCTAAAAGTGATTTTAATTCGTTTCAACTGTCAATTATACTTGTAAAATCGTAATATTCTCATATTTCAAAATAAGAATTTTGTAAGATTTATTAGGATTTAAATATTATTTATATAATCTAATAATATAGATTTTTCTTAATATTTTCCTTAGATTACATGATCTATTTTTGCTTGATTTATCTTTCACATGTTTAGAATAATTTTCAAAAAAAAAATAACTTTTTTTGTCTCAAAATATCACAGAAACTTTGGCGGTTTTTGTAAAATTTACAATCTGCAGAAATATCAAAAGTTTTCACAATTTACACAATTAAATGTGAAAAAATATAGATTTATAATTATAATAGACAATGTTTGAGTATTTATATAGTTTTCATTCTATAAGCTCAGAAATGTATAAATATTTAATATTTTTGTAAAATCAATATTTGATATTTTTTCTCAAAATTTTAATTAGTAACAAATATACTCAAATGAATTTTATAAAATATCAATGAATACATTTATGTAAATTATATAAACCAAAAATAATATTTGAAATTTTCACAATATTTTCATATTATTATATACTTCTTTTAATTTGAGAAAATCATGTGACTTCATCTATTTATATTTTGTCAGTTTTTATTATTTTCTAAACCTATCATAGTTATTATTTTCAAATTATTTAGCAATTTGTATTGTTTTTTAAAACATTTGTTACTTTATAAATTAACAATATTAATACTACAGTTTTATTGTTTTTAGTTGTGAATGATACAGGTCACCAACTCAAATACCAGCTACAATATACATTACTTAACTTTTATTATCTGTGATATTGTAGTGTGATTATTCTTGTTTCTAATTATCAAAAGTCTCCAATCCAAGTACTACCTTCACTATACATAATTTGACTTTTATATCATGTAAGCATATGAAAAACGTCATGTTATTTTTCTATAAATACACGAATACCTCGCATAATCCGGATTCATAGATCAGTTTGAATATTTTAGAACAAGTTTACCCGGACTATGCGAGGTATTGTTGTATAAAGAAATATAACGAAGATTTACATACATAATATCACTGTGGAACTATACAATAAATTTAATTAATTTGAATATTTGTAATTAATTTTAACAAATTAAAAATGTGTAATTAGAAATGCATCTGCAATTTCTCTAAACTTATGTAAAACTTTGTAAAACGAGTCCAGTATTTTTGTGCTGCGAACAATATTAAATATATCTGACATGTGTCTGTCGTTGATTTCATAAAATGAATATGCAAATTAAATCGAATGAGTATCAGCGAAATGCAAAATATTCCCTATTGGCATTTTTTCCTCTTCGACTGGTCGTGTATTTCGAGCCTGAGACACGTGAACCGATTTCATTCGGGTTCATTTAATATCCCGTTACCAATCCACCCTCATTACTTATTGATTTACCTTCCAGACTACAGACAACTGTTTCTCAAGTACAGACATAAAACCACAAATAAAAGCAGACGAGGAAAACACATATAAACACACGCACACGGAACACGTATATTACCTTAAAGGAATTCCAAGTAATTTATCGTTTTTATCGAATTACCATATTTATTGTAACGATATAAAATCTTTATTCTGCTATAAAAATCAAATATTTTACAAAGCTATGTTTTGATCAATTTCTGTATTTAAATTATTTATTCTAATCAGAAAAAAATAATGAAAATATGCAAATTTGTAAAAATAAGCAAAAAGTCCTGTGTCCTGATTTTGGTCCAAACTATAGTAAAAAAATATATTTTTTCTTTGAAATATTATATCTTCTTAGACTTACTTAGAAACACCCGTATATTAAAATAGCTTAAGCTTAATTTTGAAATTGACGTTCATTCAAAGATACTTAAAAAAAAATCTGAATTTCATCCCTTTATAACTTTTTAAATTTATTTTTGCAAAATTACTTTAGATGAAAGCACATTTATTTTAAAAAATACATTAAACCGTTCAGAACAACAACTCAACAGATTTCAATAAAATTTTGTACAGTTATTAAGAATAATCTAGTTAATAATATAGATTAGTCAGAATTTTGGTACTAGATATTGTGGTTTTTGCACAGTTTACGTTGTTTTAACGATTTTGCTTCTAATGATTTTAATTTAATAGTGAAATAAATGTATTTGATCCTATAGAAATTTATTACATCAAAAAACAATTCAATCTATAAAACCCCAAAGTTGTAGCGATTCAATTCTATTATATAGTTTTTTTTAGATATATTCTCAAATATAATCAAAATCAGCTTATTTTATTGACATTCTCATTGAAAATAATGAAATTTTGACTAATTTTCCAATGTTAATTAAAAATATTTTTGTTTCCATTTTTGCAGATAATGTAATGTAATTATATAGACGTCATAAAGTGTGTAATTAAAACTATAATCAGTTGATGGTGCTAACGTAATGTAAAGTGCATAACTGAAGCTAATATCAATTAATAATGAAGGATGCTAGAAGATGCCTGAAATGTGTAGTCCTGGAGTAACGGCGCTTGCGATGGAGCTTCTCCTGGCGTCGCGACGCCATCCGGCGGCAGCTTTGCAAAATCAACGAGCGTCGTGGGGCGTGGATGTGTACAGATAATTCTATTGCCGTGCGTCAAAAAAAAAAACAACAAAAACAATAAAAGAAACAAAAACTCTTTATAGGATAGCTTTTTGATTTCGTTCGAGTTGTTGTAACGTAAAACCGGATGAAAAGCAGTGTGATTATATTTCATGGATTGTCTGTGAGTGTAGCAAGTGCGTTGTTGTGAAACAAATATGTACTTGAAGTTAATCCCGTTGATGGTCGTCGTTGCGTTATTGGATTTCGGTGAGTATTGAGCATTATTGTTTAGTTATGTTTCCGGATGTATGTGTGTAGATTGGTATGGAACTGTTTAGTAATATACGTTTTGGGTTAATGTGGATTTGGTGGTTACAAAGGTGTGGATGAAGAGAGAAGGTTATGGCGGTTTGAGGCGGAGGCAGCAGCAGCGGCGAAGTACGTTGTGCGTTATTGATTTTAGGATGCGCGGAGAGCGAGCACCGGACCAAGGCTGCCCTGGAAAAGCACTCGGATTTGTACTGCTACAAGTGTGATAACATTTTACACGGGGAACGATGCTTGGATGTGAAGGAGAACGGCAGTTCCATCCATGGGAAATGCTCCAACGATCAGAGAATCTGCCAGGTATGCAGATCACAACACCTGGTTCAAATTACCGTTGCGAAGCGTTGATATAGATTTTGCTTTACATCAATAAACATCAATATAATTGACTCAATTTATGCATGGAACGGTCCATATATACAAGCTTAAATAAAAAAATTGATGATGATGATGATCCTACAATAATCAAGATACATTTTCCCCTTGTTTGCTAAAGTTAAGATTGTTCAAAATTTAATGAAAAAAACGTAGAGTAAAAATACAAAGTAAGACATTTTGTAGAGCAAGGTTTCTTAAACTATATTCCGCGGAACACTGATGAAAGGTTCCGTGAAAAGTTAATAAGTGTTCTGTAAAAAACCGGAATGAAATAATTACTAAATAAATAATGAATGTTTTTTCACATTTTTTAAAATATGAAAATTTCAGAATTTACAATGTGTACCGTTGCAAGAAAAGTTTGGGAAACCCTTTTGGAAAGGATAACACTTTTATTTTTTTGAAATTTGAAAAATAGTTTTCGCGGGCATCATGGAAAATTCTAAAACATTAAACTAGGGAATTTGTAAAACAGATATAATGCTAAATATAAATTAAAAGCAATTTTAAGAAAATTCCTGACTATTTTTTTTAGTTTGATTTTGGAAGTGAAATTGTTAAAAGAAAATCAATTTTTGCTTTTGGGAAACTGTAAAATGAATATTTGTTTTCTTGGGAATACCAGGAAACGTTAAATTGGAGAGAAATACATAGTTAAATATATGAAAAAGAATGTACAAATTCAGAACAATTTTATGGAAATCCCTGACTAACTATTTTGGTGAAATCGTAATCATTTTTTGTGCCTTCCTTTTTTCAGGAATCCCGGGAAATTCTAAAACCTTTAATTATTAAGAAAATTGTAAAATATATAGAACGAAAAGTACAAATTGAAATCAAATCTCGGGAATTCCAGACTGTACAGTATTTTCGTTTTGATTTCTTTGGTAAAATCATTCAATAATAATGCATAATATAATACTTCCTGACTTTTGTAATCATTTATGCGTTTTTACATTTAATATTTCATGAACAGATTTTATTGTTTGAAATTTATCTTTATACTTATTTTCAATCACATGTAGTTGCTTAAATTAAACTTATAAAAACAATCAAATTTTATTTACTTTAAATACACATCACAAAAAGTTAATGAAAAAATAATATTTTGAAGAAAATATTGGATATAATACATACACAAATAATAGTTGAAATTGTATCATTTTGAAGGTATAAATCAGAGATGTGCAAATGCGTCTGTTTTAATAAGAACTCCCAGCTCTTATAATGGTGGAAAATTAATTTAACTAGTAAAAATGCCGCTACGTGCTCACTAGACTTTTTTAATAGACAAAATGGGTCTTTGCACCACTGAAATGACCACTCGATTATTGTTTTGAATTGAAAAATAAATGTTTAGGTGGCCCACATTTGGTTACTTTTCTTGTTGTGATTGTCACGGGTACCAAATACTATTGGTTATTATCGAGTCCTATGATATTGAAGATATATACACATACATTTATGTATCATTTCATGTATATCGTGTATGCTCTAACTAATATTGCAAAATATAAAATAATCGCCAATTATTTTCCAAGAATTTTTGTACCATTATAATTATTTACATTTATTTACTACGAATATTAATAAGAAGAAATTTGTTGATGTGAAATGAAATTATTCCTGGAATGAAAATTATTGGTAATGGGACAAAATAGGATATGCAAAATAGAACAGGAAAAATCAAAACATTGTAAACATAGTAGTGAAAAACCAAAAGAGGGAAGAAGTAAAATATCAATTATTTTACATTTTATTTAAATGTAATATAAGTAAATTCTTGTCGCTTTAGTATAAAGATATAATAATTTCTATGAAACTTAAACCATTTTCTTAATAAGTTATATATTACTATTTAAATATAATGTGAGTAAAACTCTCGTCATGTGGTTGTAGGTTGAGGTTTGATGAGAGGATGGTGGATGCGCAGGGCAAAAGGCTGTATCCAGGCCAACGCATGCACCGACCTCGAACTTTCCGGAACGTCATTATCTCTGCGCTTTGTGCACTGTAGCTACACTTTCAAACTTAATTAATTATATTTACCCGGCGTTCGTTTTGAGCAACTTTCCAATCAACACGCAAACATTTATGTTCATTAGATAACTATTTTCTTCCAAAGCGTACACTTCCTAACTACTTCAATCAGTATGCATTTAGCTGTATAATACCAAAATAACCGAAACATACTCACATCAAACGTCTTTGATTAACATAATTATCTACAATTTTTGTATTTTTTTAATTAATTTGTAGAAGTATTACTATATTATAATAATAATATTTTTTCTAATATATAAACAAATTAAAATATTAAAGAAAATTAATGAAAGATTACAAATATTTTTTTCGGTCTGCACAAAACTATTGAGTAAACTTCAATTATAATTAAGTTATAAATAATTTTATGGAAAGTTTTCGATTAAAATGTTATTAAAAAAAATACTGAATTCTAGTCATTAATCACAAAAGCCCAGAGACAAAACCATAACTTACAAAAGACCGTGTGACACAAAATCTCATGCTTACAAAAGCTTTCGTGCATAATAGCTTTTGTACACTTAGTTGTAAAACTCTATGATTAATTTAGGCTGAAAGAGAAGATGAATATTAAAAATTAAGTTTCATAAAATAAAATTATCATAATGATTATAATTAAAAGGAAACATTAAAAGATAGTATAAATTAAAAACTGTACAGAAAAACAATTCTTAATAAAATAAATATATATTATACATAATAAGTATTTTATTTAAAAGTACATTATTTTTCAGAAAATTAGTCCTAAAATCCATTCAGATTTGATTTATATTAATACAATATTTATTTAAACTTTAATAAAATTCTCTTATTTTATGTTATACAGTGGAACCTCGCTTAAAGAGCAAAATGTAAAAAATATGACTAAATTAATGAGCGACATTTCGCATAACGAGTGACGATGAGAAGAGAAATACACATATTATATGTATTTTTGAATATGTTTCACTATACGAGGAAAATCCGGAAATTTTAGCACGTATTAAACTCGTTAAGCGAGGTTCCACTGTATTTCTATATGTTTTTTTTAAAATAAGTACTTCAAATGAATTCATTCATTCTAGTACATTGGTTTACTAAGAGCTGGTAGGAATTGTATTGAAAGAATACATACAAATTTGATGAATAATCTGGAATACATAACAAAAAGAAATAATAGAAGGAATCATCATTAAACTTGTTTAAATTAATAACATTTCCAGAAATTGTTACACAGTTATTTTTCATTTATATTTAAATGAGTAATGGAATAGTAGGAAATTCTACGAATTGATATTATTATTTTTTAACATTAAATATTAAAATCAAATTCGATACGAGAAATGCTCTTTTATTTTAACTGGAATATCAAAAATATGATGAAACATTGAGAAAAGTATAATCAATATTTTGAAAAGAATAAATAAAAGCACGTTTGATGTAAATCAATGCCGATTTAAATGAAACTCAATTCGTGCATGTGTTATATACAATTTATTTGCGTGTGTTGCATATGAAATAACAATTTGATTTAACTCTTTGATGTTAGTAATATTGTCGAGTATTGATTAACTAACAGATCAAAGAACGTTACTCAGTTTTAGCAAATGCATTTTTAAACGCGTTTTTTCATTGATCTTTTTGTATTACGGATTTATATACTTGTATGAATTTAAATATTGCTTCCACAATTTGATTTTATTTTTTAGCAATATTTTGATATATCTCTGACCATATTCTTAATATAATAATTGTAATAGTACTTTTTAATTGGTATAATTTAATATATAAAAATATAATTTTATTTACTTTTGTTTATGTACAACTTTCAACTTTGTTTTAAATTATTATTAGTCACCTAAATTGGACCAATAAAGTTGGAGAAAAACCTCAGAAAGCAGTTGCAAAACAGATAAATACATATCAGAGCAACTTAACTCTACGAAGGGTCAGAAATTTCTAAATTTCTGCATCCAAATGGAGCAGAAAAAAATAAATTTATAAAATGTATTTATAACAATAAAAATTGATCTGCATTCAGAAAAAAATGTTGATTAGAAAATGGTAATTTCTTTTTCCTGGATATTTTCTAGAAATTGAAGAAACATTTAAAAAGGTGGTATGTTGCATGCCTCAAAGAGTTAAAGAGAAAATAATCAAGAAATTATTGTTTTTGTTCGTAAATTATTTTAATATGGAAGAAAAATAAATAAAACATATTTAATTTGATATGAAAACTAAGTACTTCTACATTTGCTGAAAATATACCTTATTTTTTTGAATTGTATCATTTCGAAGGTATAAATAGTAATGTTTGTTTCCTTACTATTTTTTTCATAAACTACTGCCGTTTTTTTTTAATAAAAAAATTATCCAAATTCGCAAAACTTTTCCTTTCTTAAAATATACCAACTATTAATTATCATGAATTATCTTATGTCAGTGAAACAGTTGAAAATAGTTGGTACTTCTGACATGCATTTATGTATCATTTCATGTATATCGTGTATACTAATATTGCAAAATATACATTAATCGCCAATTATTTTCCTAGAAATTTTGTATCATTATAATTATTTACATTTATTTATTATGAATATACACAAAAGTACATTTGTTGATGTTAAATTATTTCCTGGAATAAATATTAATGAACAAAATTGAACATTACAAAACTGTACCAAAAAAAACAAGGAAAAATAAGTTGTATTTATTACAGTCAGGTCAAATTGATAATTCATTCTCAATTTTCTAACAAGTAAAACATTTATGATTTACAACCTATAAAATTACATCCTTAAAATGAAAAAATATAGCAAGCCTTCAAACTTATATCATTTATTGACAAATCTACATAAACATGTCAGATACAAAATTAGAAAAGCTCAAATTCAAATATATTCCCTGAAAATGTCTTGAACATTTGAAATAAATAGATTTATAGGTAATTATGCAACAGTGAGATGCTTTTCTATCCTTTTTAACAGGACAAAATACTAATACGGTCAAAATGATATTTTGACATAACACTTATTAAGTTTATATAAAGAAGAAAATGTGGAATTCTGAGATTCTTTCCTTTATTCTTCGATTATGATTGTTACTTTTTTTTTGGTGCTTGGGCAAATTGCAGGTGAAGACCATAACCATATCAAGTAGTACAGAGGACACGACGGGTCAACCTAAATTGTGGTTGCTCCAAAGGAATTGCACGAAGACATGTGAACCGGTTTGTGTGATCATCGGGGAAAGGACGAAATTACGAGCATGCACCACCTGTTGCGAGACGTCCTTCTGTAATTTGGGGAACGGCGCCAACGCCCCTAGGATCGTCGGAGATCTTAGGATACTAATTTTCATGTTGCTCATCACGCTGAGAGTGCTCGACGTGACGGACGGCGACAGGTCATAAACGAAACCTTTCCACTTCATTCCTCCGAGCATTTCAATCCAAATACACAACCTTCCATTCATTTACAGTACATGAAGATCTCCTCAAAGCAGATTAACTAATGTCTTAATTAATGTCTCTTTGACTTAGACTTTAGAATCAACTTAGCAATACAAAAAAAAATTGAAGATTCATATCATTTTCAATTTATTAGCATTATAAATAATATGATAAAATTACTTTTCACGATTTATTTTGGAACTTCAGATTCTTACCCGTGGTATGCCTCAATTACATCTAAATTTTATAGTTATTTTGTGCCAATAATTATAAATACAGCAAATCCTCGCATAGTGCGAATATTTGATTCCACCAATATCTCGTACTGTTTGAAACCGGACTAATCGAGGACTTTTAAACCTTAATAAATTGCGCAAAAGAGATTTGAAAAAAATATTTTGTCAATATAAATTTAGTTTTTTTTTTTAATTTTCAAACCGGACTATATTGAATCCGGGCTGTTCGAAGCCGCACTAAGCGAGGTATTGTTGGACATTAACAAATTATTTACAACTGAGAGGTATATAATTGTCATATACTTTTATCAATTATATTGTTTTTGGTAGAAACAATTAAAACATTATATAAAAATAGTGCTGATAAGTGCTAATTTCTTTTTGTTTCTTATGACTGAACTTAAAATAATATTAAATAAATGTAGTTTTCTATTTTCTTATATTGACGTACAAATTATATAAAATCTTTAAATTAAATGAATTTATTTTGCAATATTGTAGTAATTATTTGAAAATATGTTATATAAACATGTAATTTCATTTGCTTAATGAAATATGTGAGAAAAATGGTGTAAATCTTCAATTATTTACAGAAAAATTTCTATTTAAAGCTTTTTTGTCTTGGTGCCAAATCTAACCTAACATCGATAATTATAGCGGTACCTCGTTTATCGAATAAAATTTGCAACTCAAGTTTATTCTAAAACCAAATTGTTCGAATACCGAAACTAATTTACTTACGTATCTACAAGAATTAAACTAAAATAGCTATAATCCATTCTTGGAGATAGTTCCATATGATTTCATGTTGGATGACCCAAATTCTGTTCGGGAACCGAAATTTTATTCGAAAAACGAGGGTCCACTGTATATATACTTAAATCTTGAATTGATTTCATGAAAATAACAAATTTAATTTTAAAAGAAAATCATTGTAATGTATATTACATTTTTTTTTAAATAAATATATAGATTTTATTTGATTACATGTAATTTATTTACCTTTTTAGAATCTCCCTTTTTTTTATAATGCAATTACTGCAAACCCGTAATCATCCATTAATTTTTTATAGGAACTAATATAGACCGTAAATTGTTGGTGATAGGTTTATAAATAATATACGGGAAAATCGATGAAACATTCCACTTGAATTACTAAAAGGAAAATTTATTGGAAAGCTGTTATTATTAAGAAATAATACAAAATAAAATGAGGAATGGAAGTTTATGTAGCTGAAGTGGAACAATATGTCAAAAACACTTACTTGTTATATGAAAAAAAAAAAACATATATTTTAGTTTAATTTTTGTAATAAACTTTTGTGTTTTTAATCGTTTTTTTATGGTAAAAATCAAAAGGTTACTTTTGGTGATTTTTAATTGATTTACTCATTTACAAATGGTTTATTTATTGTTAATAAATAGAAGTAATTTGTTTTAATTACTAAAAAAAACTGTTAGTACATTGCTGATGTTTTTAAGTATTAACACTTATTTATAATAATACTCGCTTAACGAGCAACGTTTCGCGTGACGATGACAAGAGAAGTCTCGGATTGCGCGCCTGCTACATCATTTTTAAAACTTGTGCACACATATTATGTGTATTTTTGAATATGTTTCACTATACGAGTAAAAATCCAGAAATTTTGGAACGGATTAAACTCGTTAAGCTCGTTTCACTGTATAATAAAATCTGAAAATATTCTTACATTTTTGTTATTATTTTGAATGCTTGCATTATTTTATATTTTATTTAACAATGATAGTTTTCAATCAATATAATTAAAAAGGTTTAATTTTTTAAATTTTAAAAAAAATAAATAAATATTTTTCTTTACAAACTGAAAATTTCGAAAACATATACTTTTACTTATATTTACTTATTACTACATATAAATAATACAAGAAATTGAAGTTTTAAATGTAAAAACTTACTAAACTTTTGAGAGACGGCGCTACAATTGATTTTACTTATTTTTACAAAAAATCTCTCAAAATTGTACATAATATCAATTGAAATTATGTGAAGTGATTGGTTCTTTATTGTATGAAATATTATATATAATGAAATAAGTTCATTTAATAGATAGAAATTAACAATAATTGAACAATGATGTACTAGAAATTGAAATTTTCAATGTAAGCACTTTAATAACTTTTATGAGATGGTGCTACAATCGCATTTACTTATTACAATCTGTCAATTGAAATTATGTGAGATGATTGTTTCTTTATTGTATGAAATATTATAAAAAATGAAATAAATTCCGTTAATAGATAGAAATTTCCAATCATTGAAAAACCATAAACTAGAAATTAAGAAGATGCAAAATTGCACATAATACTATAATACTACAATCTATCAATTTAAATTTTGTAAAGTGATTGGTTCTTTAGTGTATGAAATATTATAAATATTGAAATAAGTACAGTTAATAGATAGAAATTGGGAAACTGACAACCATTGAAAAACGATACACTAGAAATTGAAATTTTCAATGTAAGAACTTTAATAACAGTTGAGAGATGACGCAACAATTGAATTTACTTATTTTTACTAGAAATCTCCCAAATTTGCACATAATATTATCTATCAATTGAAATTGCAGTGGAACCTCGCATAACAAGCACCTCGCATAACGAGAATTACGCTTAACGAACAAAATGTATTGTAAGAAAAATGACTCGCTTAACGTGCGATGTTTTGCATAACGAGTGACGATGAGAAGAGAAGTTCCGGATTGCGCGCATGCTACATCATTTTTAAAACATATTATGTGTATTTTTCAATATGTTTCACTATACGACTAAAAATCCGGAAATTTTGGAACGGATTAAACTCGTTAAGCGAGGTTCCACTGTATGAGAAATGATTGGTTTCTTTAATGTATGAATACATTAGAAATTGAAACTTTAAATGTAAGAACTTTAATAAATTTTGAGAGATGGCGCTACAATCGCTTTTAATAGAAATCTCTTAAAATTGCTCATAATAATATCAAACAAGTGAAATTATGTGAGGATATTGGTTTTTTAATGTATGAAATATTATAAATAATGAAATAAGTACACTTAATAGATGGAAATTGAGAAATTGACAATCATTGAAAACCGATACACTAGAAATTAAAATTTTCAATGTAAACATTTTTTACCATAAATCTTCTAAAATTTCTTATAAGAAGTGTTAAATATAATAAATATATAATTAAGCTTAATTAATAGATAAAAATTGAGAAATTGATATTTTTTTCACTTATTTTTTATTATAAATCTTAAATTGAAATTATTTCAAATGAATAGTCTCATATTGTGTGAAATGTAATAAATAACGTAATAAATAATATAAGAATAAACTAAATTAATAGATAGAAGTTGAGAAATTGACAATCCTTGATAAACGATACACAAGAAATTGAAAGACTCGAACATGATTTACACTTAATTATTTTATTATATGATTTTCCATTTATCTAGATGTAATTCCATTAAGAATCGATATCACAAATGAAAAATAGAGATTAAACAGAAGATAATCAAGAACCTAATTATCAGATATTAATCTTCCAAAATAATAAAAAACAACACATATTAAACCAACAATAATTGTTTCGCTGTTTAATCGTGAATTTATAACCAATCATGGAAATTACCACTATTTTTTTTCTATTCACGGAAATACGAACACGCTATGCATATTAGAATCTGTTGTGACCTTTTTTTAGTTTAATTTTCTATGCACATTTACTATTCATATAGTAATTCACATTTGTTCGGCCCAATTAAAAACAGAACATCTGGCCACAACGATTTGATTAGAAACATATTTAATTCGTGCGTAATTACATTGATATCATCATCATAGTTTCGTCATTATAATTATAAGAATTTCGTGGATGTAAATGGAAAACTTTTCAAAGGACTTTTAATTAAAAGCAAATAATGAAAGAGAAATATAAATGTGAAATATGAATGTTTGGAAAAAAAAATGAAGAGAAAACATTATGTGTGCTAGTTTATATATTAATTGAGATACTGCAGCTTGTGAAAATAAAAATAAACTCTGGCGACGCTTGGGAAATGTTTGAAATTACTTTATCCTTGAGTTTTGTATACAATTTTCAATTGAATATTTTTCTTTCAATTATTACAAATGAAGTTCATAAATTGTTTAATAATATAAATAATACACAACATATCTTATATAAAAAGATATATACAATACATTTTATTTACTGTAAACTATCTTTTTTGGAGAGAAATTAAAAAAATGTTCAAAGATTTCTACGATATGTAACTTATGTCAACTTTTTTTTTTGTTAAATTTTGCTCAATCTTATGAAACTAAATGAAATAAATATTAAATAAATCTACAAAATTCTTATTTTCAAATAAAATAATAACTAGTTTGGATTTTTCAGAGAACACAGTAGGATAGAACAAATTAATCAACTTATTGATGCAATCGGCCAGGATCTAGAAGAGAAAAGATACTGTTCAGGTGTGTTCCTTGATGTGTCACAGGCTATGGATAAAGTTTAGCATACAGGTTTACTCTACAAGCTGAAAATGTAACTTCCATCTAAACAATCGAAAGTTTTTTTATCATTTTGGAGGAAGCACAAACTGAGCTGAGTCCCATCGAATCGTGCGTTCCACAAGGTAGTGTCTTGGGACCAATTTTATATCTATTATACACTGCAAATATACCAACAACAGAAAAAACAAACATGGTAACATTTGCAGATAACACAGCAACCATAGCATTAGACGAAAGACCCATCTCTCTTAATCTGCTTGAGATATGGTTCAGGAAATAGCGAATTGGTATAAACCAGTCGAAATTGGTGCATATTACGTTCACCTTAAAAACTAATACGTTTTATCAGTAAAATAGTTTCAAGGAGAATAAAATATAAAACTAACTTTAGTTTTTTTGATATCGATACACTGTTTACTACAATCTTTCAGTAAATGTCGAGTTTTGGTAATAATTCTCCAATATTTTGAGACATTTTCAAACTCTCGTATTATAAATGTTTTATGAACCAATGCTAAATTTCAGGATTAAGTGAAAATCATTATACAAAACGAATTAACTATAGTCCAGATTGAGAAATTATTTTTATACATAAATAATCGGTCTGTTCTCTTTTTGTACGGTTTTAAAGTTCTTGATTAGTTCGGTTTCAAACAGTCTGGAATATTGGCGGAATCGTGTTAACGGTATAGATTGATGTATATTTATACTAATTTTAGATATGTTGAAAAAAATATTACGAATAATATTTATAAAAAATTATATAATTAACTAAACAATAATTATGAATTATTAGAATATAAAAAAAGTAATTATTTTATTTTTCAAACTTTTAGATCAATTATAATATATTAAATTATTTATGAATAAACAGTAAATTCACCGGATAATGTACATAAGAAATTTATAGAGTTTTGTGTATATTAAAAATTCTTTAAAAATGATAAATATGTAATAAACAAAGATATTTCACGGAATTTATATTATTAATATCTAAGTATACATACAATTATTTCATGGAATTTCGATTTAAAACTTTTAGATTAATTATAATATATTAAATTATTTATGAACAAACAGTAAATGCATCAGATAATGTACACTTAATTATAAATTTATAGTGTTTTATCTATATTAAATATTCAATACAAATTATTAATATGTAAGTGATGAAGATATTTTACGGTTTTTATTTAATATATGCACATACTCTAGTATCGATCGAAATGCAAATTTTATGTGATTCTGAACTAAGTTTCGGAAGGAAAGTTTTGAATAATGAAGAAGGAAAATTGCTCTTACTTATTATTTATGCGCTAAATATATGGAGGTGGCCGATTTACGCTTCGTCCCATTGAATATTTAATGGTTTGTCATAATTTGAATATTTTCAAGAAAACGTATAAAGCATCACTAGTGTAAAATGTAAAATAGAAGAAAATTAATGAAAATAAGTTAAATTCTTGAAATATTAATCCTTTGATATACAAATAAACAATTTCCTGAAAAATTTTATATATAGTAGTTTTTGTTCCTTCTTCGTTTCTAAACACTGAAAATTACTGTTTTAGCTGCACATCTAATTGTTTCTTTTATTATCATTTCGAAAAAGTAATCATTCAATACTTGTTTGAGGGTACAAAGAAGAGCACAATTTAACTCTAATTTTCTCAAATTCAAAGCGTTTTACGATTGTTTTTATATAATATTAAGAACTTTTGACTGAATTATTCATACTTTTGTTAACAAATATTCTTACATTAATGTTTCTTAAAAAAATAAAAATTTGAAACTTTAATAATAATTATTATACCGTGTAATAAAGTGAAAATTGTAAAAAATATCAGACATTTGAGACTCAAACCTTTGAATGTCATTTTTTTTAAATTATATTATATTTCTTATATTTTAATAATTTATTTCTTAACAAGTACAAAAAATATAAACTACTTAAATATTATTCGATTTTTATTGAAATTTATTGATTAAATTTTATTTAAAACTTTATAATTTCATGATATTTTCTTATATTTTTAAATTTATTTAATGATTTAGACCTAATCTTATCTTAATTGGAAAGGTAAACGTATTGGATTATATTAAGTTTGATCAATTAACATTTATATATTTCAGTTCCAAGAATCAACATGATCTCTAACATTTTCTTTCAGAGATGCACAATTAATCTTATTAAATTATCTATAATCTATAAAATTATTACTTATTACTAATATTGAATAATGTTTGTACATTGGAAACTTTTAGCAGGGTGAGAATAAGTAGCGTATAAAAGGAAACAAGAATTATTTATTGTTAATTGTGTAGTAAAAATGTTATGATTTGTCCATAATTATTTGTTATTTCTTTTTTATATTATCTTATTCGGATTGTTACTTAATCTAAATCAAACTATATTTTTCTTGAAATTTACTGAATGAAATATTTAAATATTTTCAGCATTTTTTCTTTATATTTGTATCAAAAAAATAGTAATTTTGTATTAATATTGGTTTATTAACTTTTTAATAATAAAAAATGATCTTTAATGATTTTGTTCAGTTTTTTTTTTATAAAACTTTATTTCGTTCATTAGTTATTAATATTGTTTTGTGAAAAATATTGGGAAAACGAACATGAAGAACTAATATAAAAACTTCACTTTCATAATCTTAATTAATAATTATTAGGTACTAAATATTTTAGTTAGAAGACTTTTTATTAGAATTAATATTTAAATGGAAGCATTTATTAGCTTTATTTTTATGTAATTTTAATAAAACCCATTAATTTGCATAATTTTTAGTTATAGAATACTTTTGAACCATTGATTTACAGTGGAAAATGTTAGGATGAGGAGGTGGATTGAAATGCATTCAGAGTTTATGTCACAAAGCAATTAAAAACAGTTAATTTAAAGCACTTGAGCGTTAGTTTAGTATATGTATGTGCGTGTATGTGTGTAGTGCATGGCCATGTGTTTAATTCGAGCCGTTCCTTCCTTATGTGCATACATTACAAAAGTACAGTAGTCGTGACGATGCCTCGATTCACTTCGCTCCTTCTGGTCTCTTTGCTTTCCGGACATTTAATACGCTGTGAACTGTACTCATCCATCTCTGATGCATCGCGAAAGACGGGCGACCGTTGCGTAACCGAGCCCCGGTTCTCTCGCGCCGGCGACGTCGATGTAATCATCTTAGAAGGTTGGCTTTTGGTCATCGACGAAGAGCACAATCTGCTACCTTCTGGTAGAAGTCTATGGGTGTCCGGGAACGACACCTGGTCTCAACCTGTCTCTGGGTGTAAACAGAAGGCTGGATATGTTTTGGGTCATGAGAGCAGCTCTAAAGTGGCTTTGAGTGTGTGTCGGGAGTTACAAATCAGCGGGTTCTTTATGATCGATGGGGATAAGTACTTTGTGGAACCTTTGAATGGTACTCATGTGGTCTTCTACAAGAAATTGATTAGACACAAGCGGAGCTGGGAGTTCTTCAATTTAACAGGTGATACGATTGATATTGGATTCGGTCCGGAGGATTCTGATTCGGATGAGGGCAGCGCTGAAGATGATCTCGAGGAGGTTGATGGAGAGGATATCAGGAGGCCACCGCTCGAGTGGAAGAGGGAACGGATGGATTCTGAAGAAGTTGGATACTTCTTTGATACGGCATGGCAACCAACAGTATTAAGTAAAAAACAATCTCAGTATTTTGTCTCTCTAAATTATAGTAATTTTAAGTTATATATATATATATAATTATTTATTGAATTTAATAATTTTAAAATCAATATGTACCTTTTGGCAATTGATATTGATTTACAAAAAAGAAAATAAAGTTCTTCAAAATAAGTAAGTAAAGTAATTTATATTTGTGGAAATAATATAAGTAAAGTAAAAAGTTCTGAGCGTTTTTCGTTAGATGTTTTAGTGAGTCATATCTCACGATGTATGCCTTGCATCTTATCATCTTATACTGCGACAATTCGTTACACTCTTCAGTACCACTACGTCCAAGGGGAGAAGCGGAACAGGCGGCCAAAAAAATGGTGATGTTTATGGACCCAATACAGTATCGATTGTAACAGCAAACCGTTGGTTCCAACGCTTCCGTTCTGGTAATATGGACGTCAAAGATGAGACAGGCTCTCGTAAGTCAATCCTCGAAAATGTTGATGGAAATTGTCCATCGACCGTCTTACGAGCATTCATTCCATTGCCCAGGAACCATTTGTAAAAGGCTGGTCTCACGAAGAAGCTTGATGTATGGGACAAAACGCTCAGAACTTTTTACTTTACTCAATATTCAGAAACTGAAATTATAAATCGAATTACTTTGGTCGATAGAAGAAATAAAGTTTGTAAAATACAAATTTATAAAGGGCAATACTGGAATAACACGATACTTGAGTCTCGAATAACACTTGCGATTGAGTCTCGAATAAAACTATACTTCAATTGGATTTCATTAATTTAACAATACTTTTTTAGTTAAAAACTCTAAGATTTGTTTTGAAACATTTTCATCTATGAAGAAAAATAAATTCTAATACAAGAAAGATAAATAATAATAGGAATAATAAATAAATGGAAATGAAAATAACATAATTATGTTTCATAAAGAAGAGAAAAGAAATAAATAATTCATTTTCTATGAAAATCTATTTTCTTGAACTAAGATATTTCAATATAATGCAAATAATATGTAATATGTTTGTGGAAATGAAATGAAATTTTTGAACTTTATGTAATAATATTTGATAAAAAGTGTATTGCTCAAAGATTTTTGCAGTAAAAAGAAAGATCATTATAATTACGCTTTTAATGAAGTTTTCAATGAGTTAATGAATATAATTATAATGTAAGTTAATTCATTATAGAAAATTCTAAATATTACAATTAGATTAATTTAACCAAAACGATATGTATCAAAGTTTTTCTTTCTAAAAAATATTTCTTTTAATAATTTATTATTCACAATCTGCCTTTTGTGGTTTTTTAAATTTATCTTGACATGTGATACAGAGGCTGTATCTTCAACATCTATATTGTTTTTTTACAATCAACTTCGGTCTTCCTTTTCTTTAACAGTGACAAATCTTCGGTCTCCGCGCCCGATTGTTGAGATGAACATTCGTTGTCGTACTCCATAACGGGGTAGCTCAACACACATCCTCACTTGATTTTTCTACTTTGTATCATAGTCACAATTTTTTTGTTTTTGTTCTTTTAATAAATAACTTTTTACGTACAAACACAGAGAATAACGAAACACGTCCGTTCACTTTCGCATGTGCGTTAGAATTCCAAATACCGATGATAATTGGAGATTATATTACAGTACAATATTTTCAATAACTATCACAGATGACACTTTTAAGTTAATCAAAAAAAAACACAATTTATACTTATTTAATCAAAACAAAGTATCGTATTTTACTTATTACATAATTTATGGCTTACAAATTACTTAAATTTATCTTTTGTTCTGATTCCTCAAATAATATTTAGAATTAGAATAAAATTTAATTAATTTTATGTTAAAAAAATAACATATGCAACCAACATTTCATGTAAAATTATTGAATTTAAGTTTTGAATCAATAATAACATTAGTAAACAAAAAATAATGAAAACCCATTGAAAATATAAAAAAAATATCTATAATGTTTGCATTATAGCACAGAGAAAAGAAAATATTAAATAAAATGTTTAAAAATAGAAGTTGTGTTAGTACTGCATTAAGGAAATAATATAGGCACAGCTCTATTATTTATATTGGAAAATTACACATTACTTCTCTGCATATTTATGTAAATGATATAGTATTATTTGCGTTTATCGAATGAGAAGGTTTTGTTACGTAGCAAGAACTGATTGAAGAACTGTAATACGTGCAATATGATTGGTAAATCTTATAGCATCCAGGAAACATCACAAGATTTCGGTGAATCCTCAAAGGTGGTTGGAAATCGCGATAGCCGTGGATAACTCTGTGATCTCGTTCCATGGGAAATCAAGAGTCGAGCAGTACATCCTCACGTTGATGAATATCGTAACTATAATCTTAATGAATGGGAGAATCATCAATGGTTAAAGAAAAAATCTTTAAGGTAAACGCAGTATTCCAAGACCCTTCATTAGACGCCAACATGCAGCTGGTAATCACCCGGATGATCCTATATGATACAAATAGGCATTCGTTAATCAGACCTGGGAATGTAAAGAAGTCTTTGGAGAACGTTAACAGCTGGAATCGTGATCTTCATATAGGTTTAGCTCCTGGAGAGTCTCATCACGATGTCGCTGTTTGGTTGACTCGTTCGGATATTGGAGGTCCTTCAGGTTTTGCTCCAGTTTCAGGCGCTTGTGACACTAAGAGGAGTTGCGCTTTGAACAGAGACGAAGGTCTTACAAGTGCCTTCATCATAGCCCACGAGTTGGCCCATATGTATACAATATAATTAAAGTATTTCTGTGCAAATAATGAGTTATTTTTAATTCAGTTTAGGTTTGAGCCACGATGGAGACTCTAAAGCTTCGAACAACTGCGGAGACGATGCTTTCCAAGGAAGCGTCATGGCTCCTCTGGTATCTGCCACCTTTCACCAGTTCCTCTGGTCATCTTGCTCAAGAAAAGAATTCCAGAGAAGATCAAGGTATTTGCAATTTCAACACAAACTATATAATGTTTTAACCATTGATTTCAGGAAGTGGACTTGTTTGAGTAATTCACCTCAGGTGAATGCTGTTGTCCTCAACAAAACTTTGCAGACTTCCTTCAGCATGGATGAGCAGTGTCGCATGGAATTTGGTGAAGGGTTTGTGACAAATTTCTATATTTGAATATAGTAATGTGTTTTGTAACTTTTCCAACAGTTATAGTTTATGCAGAGCTTTCGATATCGTTGAGCCGTGCTCTCATCTCTGGTGTGGACATGTTCAATCTGCTTTGGTCTGCAAGACAAAGAAAGGTCCACCAATTGAAGGAACAGAATGCGGATTTAATAAGGTACTTGAATTAATTAAGAGGAGTTCCGTTCAATTGCAGGCTATTAATAAGTTGCATGTTTAAAGCAGAATTGAAGGTTGCGAAGAATAATAATACACATTATGAAGCACATCAATTTAAATCATTCAATGAGAATGCACGCTTCTATCATTATTATGAATAGAAAATACGGCTTGCAATAATTTATTTAGTTTTTCTTTAATATAAAAATTATTATGATTCAATTATTTTTTGAAGCTGATTCGTTTTATTTGAAAGTAGTTAGCATAAAAAGAAATTAAAAAATCTATATAATATATTTTTTTTAATATTCTTTACACTACAAATTTGGTAGACATTTTTCAAAAGATTCAACTTTCCTTTGTGCACTATAACTTTGTAAATTTGACTCAATTTACGTATTTCAAATAAGTTTTCATTTGATTTTCTATTAGTAGACCTTTGTTATTAAATAGATGTGGCTAAAAAATTTGGTTAAAAATATATAATGGATTAAACTGTCCTATATATGCTCTACATAAAAGATTCTTTATAAATTTGACTCAAGTTACGTAAATCTAATAAGTTTTTATTTCAACTATACTAGAACTTTGTTTTTAGAAAGGTGTGACTTCAAAATTAGTAAAAAGTATACAAAAAATTCAACTTTCTTTTATTCACTGTATTTCTTTATAAATTTGACTCAAATTAATTCCAATTAGTTCCAATTAGTCTTCATTTAAGACAGTAGTAGAATTTTTTTTTTCGAAAGATGTGGATACAATATATTGGTAGAATATAAGAACTTTCTTTTATTTATGGATTATAGGATTTTTTTTAAAGAAATGAATGTATATTAAACTATATAATTTTAAAATATTTTAGAACAAGAAGTAAAATTGTATTTGGAATTAGTAAATATACAAGACATAACGAAGTTTAGAAGAGAAATCTTAAAATTCTTGTATAATTACATTGTACCGTCATTTAGCTTTAAATTTTCTCGTTACATAAGATAACCGTCGATGCTATTGTTCCATGAGACAACGTAACATTAATTAATTAAGTTCTACAATATGCGGAGAAGATGCTCGCTTCGGCACGATTAACGCTGAGACGTCTTCGTTGTGAACATTGTCTGTTGCATCGTTGTAACTGGAATCCGTTTCTTCGTGTTGCAGTGGTGTGTTAACGGGTATTGCGAGTCGGTGGACAGGCGGAAATTCAATTTGGATCCGGTGCAGCACAATCCGCAGGACGGTGGATGGGGAGATTGGGGTCCCTGGGGTTCATGCTCCAGAACCTGCGGGACAGGTGTCGAATTCAGAGTGAGGAGATGCGATAATCCTGCGTAATTATTAATCGCAGAATTGGAAGAATGATTTTATGGTATTTTTTTGGTATGTTTTTCAGACCGATTTACGGGGGAAGCGAATGTTTCGGATCGAAGGAGGAGTGGCGCGTCTGCAATTCTGTGTCTTGTCCAGAACCAATCCAGGATATAAGAGCCCAGCAATGTAAAAGGTTGCCGAAGATGCTGAAGCTGAAACCGCCCAGATCCAATATGACCTGGCTTCCACATGAAAGCGACAAACGTAATTACAAATACAATTTTATTATGTTAATTTTGATTGTGTAGCTGTAAGTATCATCGGATTCTAAAATTTCTATCAATTTTTACGGTGTTTAATGACAGCTGTCAGTGTTATTGGATTCCAAAATTTCTATCAATTTTACGGTCTTCAATGACAGTTTTCAGTATCATCGGATTTCTAAATGTTTGTCAATTTTCACGATGTTCTGTGATAGCTGTCAGTATCATCGCATTCCAAAATGACTGTCCATTTGTACGGCTTTCAATGATAACTTTCAGTATCATAGGATTCCTAAATGCCTGTCAATTTTCACGATGTTCAATAATAGCTGTCAGTATCAACGGATTACAAAATGTTAGGTGACATCAGACATAAATGCTTGTCAATTTTTACGGTGTAAAATGACAGCTATTATCAGATTCTAAAATGACTGTCAACTTCATAATACAAATACATATATTTCAATGTTAAAACTGCCACTTCTATGTGAAGACAAAACAAGAAGAAAATGTAATTTTGAACTTGATTTCCATTTCAGGTGAGATGAAATGTAAGCTGATCTGCGCCAGCAAAGAGACCGGGGATCTGTATATCACCGGTGAAAACTTGATAGATGGAACGCCGTGCTCGTACGAGAACAAAAGCAATATTTGCATTCAAGTAAACCTCGTTGCAATTAACAAAGTGCACATTTCGTTCGAATGCAATTAAAACTCGTTTCTTTCGTTTCGCAAGGGAACCTGTCAGCCATTCGGATGTGACATGAAGATATTCTCGACGAAGATGGAAGATGCCTGCGGCGTCTGCGGAGGAGACAACACCGAATGCGAGCCAAAGCGCGGCGTCTTCAAAAGAAAACTGAAAAAAGGTTTGCATTGTCTAATAATTTAAATGGATTCTCATTATAAATATGAATGGAAAAGTTGACAAATGAATGACCACAATATAAAACATTTAAAAAAAAATAATGATATTGCTATAATCTAACAACTAATTTCAAAGAAACTCCATTCTCCTTATGAATTAGATTGGAACAGTTGACAGTTTTTATTTAAAACAGAATTTGTTATTTAAAAAATGGTTATAAATTTTCGAGAATTATCTTAAACTTTACAAAACACAAATTTATCAAATTTTAATAACAAAGATAATAAAAGGAAATATTCCATTTTATATCTTTACGAACGAGCATTAAAATTTATCAATTTTATTCATCTTATTCCTCAGATGTTAATCGCGTTGCGGTACTTCCTCGATTGGCGAGAGAGATCAAGATTGAGGCGAATTTCACAACGACTTCGCACTTGACTCCATCGGTGGCTTTCATCCTGAAGGATCGAAAACGTAATACGCATACGATCACAATTCCGAACAGGAGCAGCGACAATCAGATCATCGAAGGGACGAAGTTTTATTACACCAAATCCGCCGGTTTCCATTTACTGTGGGCGAAAGGACCCGTCCTCGCGGAAATTGTAGTTCTGGTAAGATTACAACTAGCTTTGTTCCCATATCAAACTATTATTCTGAAACGTGTTTGTCCGAATTTACTGTATATTATATCAGATACGATGTGCGCTATAACTTTGGATTTACGTGTTTATATTTGAAATTATACTGTAAAGTTACCCACATTCTATTTGTTTTATGTAAAGTAACACGTAATGTGCTCAGAAAGTGTCTATAATTTGGGTATTTTAGGAAAATAATTTGACAAATGTCTTATATTAATACAATTATAGTATAATACCTCGAATAGTCCGGTTCTGCCAATATCCCTGACTGTTTGAAACCGGACTAATCAAGGACTTTAAACCCGCATAGACGATTATTTATACATAAAGAAAATATTTTTTGAACATTTTATTTTTTACATATTTCGTTCAATTAAAATTTAGTTTGTTTTGTACTTTTAGGACCGAACTACAGTAAATCCGGACTGATTGAACTATGTAATTGAGGTTACTTTTACAGATACGTTAGTAAAGATTTTGGGATATTCAAATACTAATTCAAAAACAAGTTAAAAAGCTTAAATTGTATATCAAATATTGTATACAGTCATATTTCGATTAAGGAAATTCCTTCGTTAATCGTTTTCATAGGTAATTGTGATACATTATTTTTTCTGAAACCAAATTGATTGAAACAATTAAAAGTTCTATTTAAAAAAAACAGTGTATTCAAAATATTTGATCAACCCAAAATTTTGAATATTTTATTATTATGAAGTAATACAATAATTGAAATAATTTACATTATCTATAGCAGTGTTTTCCAAACTGCAAGATTTTTGTATATTTTTTTTAAATAAATTTAAAATTATTATTTATGAGCTTTAAAAGTGTTAAAATTTATAAATAACAAATCAATGCGATACGATTACAAATCGCGTTTTTCCTGGATTCGATGACGATAGTTGATTTTTGCACTCGACATTAAAAAAAATCATTTACACACTAATAAATTCAATTGGTCCACACCTAAAATATTCTGAGTAATGCAACATATTTATTGATATTATTATGAATAACTGCTTGTAAACTTTAATTTTAAAGGATATGATTACGAATTTCTGTGTGCTTAAATCAAAGTTCAATACATAACAACATTTTTTTTATGTTGAATCATTGGATTTCCACCTGCGATATTATGGATCTCAGATGAGTGTTACATATCTATTAAAAAAAATACAATTGAAAAAAAAAATGGCAAACCAATAAATAACGTTGATTATTGGCACCAATAGATAGTATCTCTCAAGTGCGAGAGAATAATACGAATCGGCTATCAATTATTTGCTAACTGACGACATACAAACATGTTTATTTAATTTATTTCCGTGTGAGAGAGTTTTATCCTTTGAAGTATACAATTGTTTGGTATTTTATGTTACAAGAAATTGAAGTTAGTGTCGTAGAGGCGTATCCTCAAGGATAGTCGAATACTTTGGTCAATGTTAATTAATAATGAATAAGAAATAGTCTCTTTTTAACTCTGACTTCTCCTTTATTCTTCTGTTAGAAGATTCTCCGAATGTGTGAATCCTTGACACGTGTGTACAACACAAAGAGATGTGTTTGTTTCGATACATTGAAGACCTTAATTTAAAGTAAAATATGATCTAGAAGAGGAAAATAATTAAAAAAAAATAGTATGAGGATGTTTAAAAATTAATGAATTTAGTATGGCTTTTTAGTGGAAATGAACAAAATTTAAGATTAAATTTGTTCAAATTTCAAAGAACTTTTTTAAATTTGAAAACTATTCTTAATTATTTGTCTTTGAAAAAATTTGTTGTTTACAACTTTTTTAAATATACAAATTTTCATTTTTGAAATCATCACATTTCTTATTTAAATTACTAAAGTAATCATATTTAATCTTCTTCAGACCATTTTTTTAAACTATTCATTTTTTCTGTGTTGTCTTTGGATAATCCTTTTAAGTTAATTTTAAATACTTATTTATAACTAAGATTAACTGGATGATAATAATCTTGATAATTGTAAAACTTGATTCATTTATAATTCGACAATAATTGAGTTATTCTTCTAATGGATTGTTTTTTTTAATAAAAGTTTAAGTAATTATATTTTTCTAAATCTAATTGATACTTTTAATTAGTATATTTACTGACTTCTTGAAAATTCAAATAGTTTAGTATTAAATTAACGTGTTACATTATTAAAAAAAAAAACATTTTGAAAAAGTTTATGAACCTGACGGTTTAATTAGTATCATTGAATTGTCTTTGTTGATGGATTAAGGAAATAGAAAAAAAAATGAATTGATTTGCACGCATAGATTAGATGCGCTAAAGCATTGTTGGTTAGAACGGACGAAAAAATAAGGAGGCTTAACGTATTAATTGATAAATCGGGATTATCCATTATCTATTAATAAATAGAAGCGCAGTTGAAAATTAATTCCAACAGCAAACAATTAATTGGCAAACAATTTCGTTTATTCAGAATTATTGATTAGAATACAAAAGCGTCATAAAGCATAGTCATAGTTAGGTATACATATAAAATTAATGATATTACATGTATAGTTTTTAGTCATAAGTACAGTCATAGATAAAAATACAGGTAACACAGCATAATCCTAGTTAGGATACAAGATGATGATGAAGCAAAGTTATAGTTATGAATAAATAATGTTGGTCATGTTTTCTATAATACTAAGATGGTTTATGATACTAGCTTTGATGATGTTAGGTGTATGCGTCTAGGAATCAAGTGGATATGGGATTAAATATCTCTTTGGTATCCGAATACTACGTGCATCGTAACATGTCTGATGCAAACATAAAATATAAATGGATTATTGGTAACTGGGGACCGTGCACCAAGACCTGCGGTGGTGGAAAACGGTATAAGACAAAGGCCTGTTCCGACATCTTCAGCGGGAAAATCGTCCCTAGACGTTTCTGCTCGATTTCCACCAAACCAATAACAGAAAGCCAAAAGTGCAACGTATTTAGGTTTGATTATCTCTAAAAAAATCTTCTGCTTAAATATGAGATATGTTCCATTTTTGTTAGTTGTAATTTCGTGTGGTATCCGGGGATGTGGGAACCGTGCAGCGCGATGTGCGGTTCATCTGGAATTCAGATGAGAGAGTTGTATTGTTTGCCACAATCCATGCTGGAGGAGGCTACGAACGGAAGCAACAAAGATGAACCTTGGAGGTTCATGGTCAAACCGGATAAGTGCGGCGATTTGAAGCCGAACCAGCAGAGGCAATGTTATAGGAGACCATGCCCTTCGTATTGGGAATACGGGCAGTGGTCCGAGGTATATTGTTCGACAATAAAGGAAAACTTGGTTTAACAGAAACTTGCTATATTGTTTCAGTGTTCGTCGTCCTGTGGCCTGGGCATCTCTGTGAGGGAATCGCAATGTACTCCATCCATTAACGAAACTTTCTATTCGTGCGATCAGGAGCCTGCTAAGCAGAAGAAGTTCTGCAAAGCTCCACACAATCGAAGCACGAATCCTCTGTGTCGTACAAGGAAGCCATGCTTCGGGGATCAGTCCAAGTATTGTTCGTTGCCCGGCCTCGTCCGATACTGCAAAATACCCACATACAAAAAAATGTGCTGCAAATCTTGCGCCCGCAGGAGACTCACCCCTTACATACATTAACGCTAACATACTAACTGTTTTAATTGATTAAAGTTGTTAATTCATTGTTGTAGATATTTTCTTATATGAATTCCTATACTCAAGTCATTCTTTATATAATCTCTAAGATTTAGATTTGTCTAATTTTTAGATCATAAAAACTGAATTGTTAATATAATTGATTACTTGAAGAAGTAATTTATAGACTGGTTTTCAAAATCCTTGATTAATCCGATTTTTAACAATTCGTGATATTAGCGGAATCGATTACAGAGATTATACGAGGTATTGCTTTATTATCAAGATTCACTAATCATTTTACGTTGTTAACTTTCATTGGATGATATGAATCATGATAATCTTGATATAAGATGTTTAAGATTTAGTAGAAGGGAATTATACCGAAGACCTTACAAGCATTCATTATTACACATATATATGATAAGTTTACAAGTCTTATTGATTATCGTTTTTATGTACTGTAATGACAGTTAAATTTAACTGACAGCTGACATCGCATACTGTTATACTTAGTATACCAACCTCATACAAGTTTGTCAGATGAAATGTTTGTCACTATGATACGAACTTCATAAAAGTGTGTCACTGTGACAGATGAAATTGTATTTTGTAACAGTAGGTACTACAACTTCATAAATGTGTGTCACTATTACAATTGACATTTTATACTGTTATACTATGAAAATTTAAGGAATGTGTGTCTCTATATTCATATATTGTCACTATGAATTTATTTCAATGAAATAATCATCATCATTAAAACTGATTAGAAGTTGATTAGTTTGAAACTTAGATCAAAGCTTTAAACATTATGTCAAAGATGGAGCACTGTCAAAAAAAGAAATCATAAATCGAAAAGAGCCTTAAGACGACCAAATTTCGAGAATTCCATTATCGGAAGATAACAGATTTATCTGATAAGTAGAAATTACTTTATTCGAGGTTCGTGTTATCTATCTTGCAATTCATTCTGAATTAATAACATAGGTAGTGCGGTATCAACTGTGCCGAGCAATGCAATGCGCCACCAATTGGCATTGTTGTTAACAATTCTTGTGCAGTTTTCACACTCTCAGGTATATATCCACGGATTAAAAAGCTGTTCATCAATAATGTGATATTTTTTCTTTTTGTTCTTTGTTGTTGAAGGATGAAAAGAGGTGTTTATTGCGGTTTTTTCCTATCGCCCCTGCAGAGGACTACAAGTTTGCGACAGGCGACACTTGCTTCTTTATGTCCAGCCCGTTTTGGTTGAATATACCTGCAATCAAAAGACGTACCCTCGTCAAGATCATTGACGGAAAGCAGTTTCCTATTAGCTATACTATTGTAAGTTAACGATAAAACGAGTTTCTGAAGACGTTTTAAGTATTTGTTTGAATAAAAGAAATATATTAATTTAAATTAAAATACTTCAATAACATCTATTATTGTTAATTTGTATATTCGATTAATTTATTTGTTGTTGGCACTTAGCATGCTTAATTATAAAAATGGTTTATAAGTAAATATTTGTTTAAATCGTTTTCATGGCGAGTTGTTCGCAAACCGGATCCATTTTCATCAAAAGTATGATTTTAAAATGGATTTATTTGATTATTTATATACACTGTACTTTGTGCATAAAATCGTATCTAAAAATGGTTATAAATTGAAATAATCTGTTCGTAAACCAAAATTAGTTAGTTGTTGATATTCGAGAACCAAGGGACCAATATTATTATTTCTAGTTATTGCCATATATATTTTATAATATAATATTCAAATATTTTTATCAAAAAAAAACCTTTGTCTATCGTTGACAAAAAACATGAAATCATCATCATTGTGTTTACATTTTTTTATATCACAATTTGTAAATATGTTAAGAAATATGTTTCATGAAAGCATTATCAGAACTAATATTTTCAATACTTAGCCCCACTTTAATTATACGACTCAAAAACAAGTTTGTAAGGTAAATAAGAATTAAAAATGTTTAATAAGCAAACAAAATCTAATTTGAATATATCATAACTAATTATACCTTTATGTTTGAAAATTTCAAATCCTATCCAAGCAATGATATCAAAGCTTCTAATAAATATTTTCATAAGATTTGAACTATTATTATTCCGCTAAAAATTGAAGTATTTGAAGAATTCAATCAATATTAATTCAAAATAGAATTAAGATGTCTTTAAAACTGCATAATAAAATTTATGTTTTTTCAAATAGATATGTTGTTTTAATGTTTTAAGACGTACGATATTTGCAGGATCCAGATGGAAGAGAAGTTTTTTTCGATTACGAAAACCAAACAGCTTTAGAACATATTCAAACGCTGTATCTACAAGAAGCTTATTTCAAGAAATGGTACGATTGCGCAAACGCCGCCATGGATTGCTGCCTCAATCATTTAACAGAAGAAAACATGCAACCAGGTAAATTATAATCATTTCTTGTATATACGGTTAATTCCAAAATAAAAAATAGTTATCTTATCGTGTGTCTCTTCGTGATTGAAGTTGTAATATGCTTTTATTTATCCAATTATTGAATAGATGAAGATCATCCTTGTCCAGCTCTCTGGGATGGATACACTTGCTACGGAAAAACTAAAGCTGGAACTACAGTATACAATCTTTGTCCATCCTATATAAGAACAGCAGATGACTTAATATGCAATTGTAAGTTTTATTTCTTAAAACTTTTTAGAATTATATATTTTAACTAGATCTTCATCGATTCAGTAGAAAGCGAAAAGTATTGCCTAACAGATGGATGGAATCAAGTGACTAACTACAATACTTGCGTGGATGCCCCCATCTACAGGAAACGAAATGGGTTCCATTTGATCTGTCTCTACGTGTCTGTTGCTGTAATCTTTCCAGCAATACTAATTTATTTATCCTTCCCCAAGTTGAAAATCCTCAGGATCGCGTTACACAGAAACCTTTTGATTGCCATTTTCATTAAGAATGTCTTGGTGATTCTGTCCAAAAACTTGATCATTTTAGACGCTTTGGAAGGTGACAAAGGTAATAAACTTATGATCAGCAATAGCATAGGTTGCAGAGTTTTGGCCTTCTTTGAAAATCTATCGAAAAATCTGATTTTCACCTGCATGTCTGCGGATGCCTTCTATTTGCACAAACTTATTGTAAGACCTTTTGCCACCGATCCTAATATACTTATCTTCTATAGTATAGTTGTTGGTAAGCCATAATCCGTAATACTTAGGAATTAAGGATTCATTAAAAAAATCTTTGTTTCAGTATTTTCAGCGTTACCATCTTTGATCTGGGCTGGTCTCATGGGCGCTCGTGAAATGGAAAACTGTTGGATGGTAGACACAGAGACTTGGTACATTTGGATCACTGATGGTTACAAATACGCAATGCTCATCATCAATGCTATACTTCTAGTGGATATCATTCGAGTTTTGCTCACAAAGTTAGGGAAAGGCGGAAACAAGAAGCAAACCAGGTTTGTTGCATCACTGAAACCATTAGCAGTTTCATCAATTAATCATTTTCCAGATCCGCTCTGAAAGCCACTATAATCCTGTTACCGCTCTTCGGAATTCCGCTGTTGATCACCTCGCAAAGAGATCTCTTCGATAGCAGAGATTGCACTAAAAGCGACATCTATTATTACATAACATACGCGATCGAAGCGGCCCAGGGAATCCTTCTAGCTGTATTCTTTTGCTACCTAAACCAAGACGTAAATATAACATTCCAAATCAACAAATTATATCTTATAAAAATTCATGTTTTAGGTACACAAAGAAATTGCGAATTTCTACAGAAAATTAGATACGAAATTCCGTCAACGTTTCGGATATTCAGAGAGAATGCGCCGATCGACAGCTTGCACTAAATCCACAAAATATTAATTTAGTCTACTTACAATTTTTTTATATACAATTTTATAAATTAAAGAAAAAAAATATAATCCTAAACAATATTGTATTTCGTAGGTTTGTTTATCTGTTGTTTATTCGTAACTGAATGAATGCTAGATATAAATCTGATATTAAAATCTCAAGTGCTTGATTCAATTCAATTCTATTCCCTAATCGAAACCGTTATGTAAATAAATATTTGTTGGTACAGTTACAAATATTCATAACATTATCTCGTATTGAATCATTGATTAAATGTATTTTATCTTTCACCTTATTTTCATTTTCTTCCTCCTAAATAATTTATGTACGTTTAAAATTTGATACATTGTATTGTTTATTATTAAACAATACATGATTGTTTAGAATTATTACAAATATCTAATAAATAATCATAGAATTTAATTTGAGAAAAAAAATCAAGAAAACTTTAACTTCTATTATCATTATAAATATTTACTGACACGGATAATATATATATAACATATTTGGGAGATAACTATTGTCATATTCAATTTTGTTTTTCGAGAATCGCGTTATATAAAAAAGACCCAATATTTTTATCGTGTTGTAGGAATTCGTATTGTAGGAACTCGTGTTATACCAAAGTCTACTGTATTTTATGCTTTAGAATCTTGATAATTAAAACAATTTTAAGTTTAGTCTGAAAATTAATTATTTTTAAAAAATAAGTATGTTTATGTAAAATTTTACTATTTACGTATATTATTTATCATTAATAATTAAATTAATTAAAGAATGACAAACAAAATAGTTTACAATTAGTACTTCTTTTCATAATTGAAAAACTAATCTGTCTTTTTATGGTGAATACTTGTCTAATGTAGTCAACTTATTCACAAAAGAGTATTCTAAAATGTTTTTGATGAAATTCAATGAAACGTTTTCAAATATAGAAATTACAATAAAATTCTTAAATATTATTAATCTAAATAGAACTGGGGATAACAGCAAAATTTCAAGAAATATAAAAACTGAAAATTGCTACATTTATATCGATGGATAAAATGCACACAATAGTCTCGTTCTCAAGTACTTGATTATTGATGTACAAATGAAAAATTTGAATAATTTTATCATTGAAACTTACCACAAATTGTGATTTAAAATAAATTAATGTTTGATGAAGTAAATTCACATAAAATAATGTTAAAACTATTTATTTACAGGCTAATTAATGGAGATTAGTTACAACGATTTTATTTCTTTCAGTACAATTTTTTATATATAGTTGGAATAAATTCCAATAAACAAAAACCTTGAAATTGTTTCAAAACGTTGAAAGAAGTGTATTTATTACGGTAAAAATACAAAATCAGTAAATGTACACGTTTACATAGTTGGTAAATTTGAGTTAAAATTTTAGATTAGATTCATATATCTATTTTTATCGGAAAATGTACACATTTTCGAGCGTATAAAGGTAAACGTTAAAAATAATAAACATAAATATAATACACTTGTATATTAAAGTTAAAATAAGAATAAGTTATATTATTATTTTGAAATCACATTCACCAACCAATCTGGTAAATGTGTATATTTACCTAACTACGTAGTTTTACCGTAACATATATATTTAACTTTAAGTGAATTCATATAATTAGAATGAATGTTAATAATAATAATCACAATATTTTTTTAAGAATTTGCATATAATTAGATGGGAAACAATTGTTAAGCTATATAGAACTTATAATGAACTCCATAAGTTTCTATTAGATAATTCGGAAAGTAATGCACATAATATAATGCATATGAGAGTAGTTATTGTTCAATAGAGCGCAAGTGAAGAAGTGCAGACTATTGCGTAACCGCAAATACATTCATTCCAAAAAAATCGAGAGCACAGCGTTCTTCAATTTTCAACCAAGTTCATCGTGTTCTTAAAAGGTTAGTGGGTGACAAGACAATTATACATCATCAATATAGCTACAAACTTTAAAAGGAATTTACGAACAATAAATATGAGAATATAGCCATAAATCTTAAAGTAAGGACACATATATTCAGATCACATCTATATGGAATTTGTAGTAAATAAAATAATAAATCACTTAATTGCGGACGTAATTAAGTTTAAGTACTGGCACTTATTTAGTTCTAATTATTATTATTATTACGAGTATATATAAGAGTAGGTGTATGAATATTGTAGAATTTAATGTATACAAAGTAAGTGTTGGTTTTAATAAATAAGTGTACTTAATTGTAATGGTTATTTGTTATTTAAGTGTGCTATTAACGTAATACAGCATTTATAACATGTATGTATAAAATTTGTATAAAATATCGAATAATAAATTTAAAAGATTTGACATTGATACTGCAAGTAAACCCGTTGTCTGAGTATAGACGAGTAAAAAAAAATAATTAAAAATAAATGAAGGAAAACGAGCAAAGCCATCGAGTTTCGGTGCACGCCATTATTTAACCATTCCAAGAGCAGACGAGAAGAGTTTAGTATACAAAGAGTATATGTGACAAGGAAGATCATTGTCCTTCGAAATTTGTATAAACAAGCTGGACATACCAATTACGTTTCAGTTTCGCTCCTTTGCTTTGCTAGTTAGTGTATACCGAGTACAGTGCGATTTAGAAATAGGACGATCGTTCCGAGTTAAATGGACTTGATGCGTATTATTAAGTGAAAAAGAAAAAGCGAAGACGGTAATAATAGTAAACTAATTTGCACCTCTCTTGGGGAATCCTTGAGGTTAAATGATTTAACTAATTTTGCATAAACTAGTTAAGTAAAGGATGACGAGTGTTGTTGTTTCTATCGTTTCAGATCTCGTCGCTAATCGGAGTCAATTGAGAAAAAAAAAGCAATGACACAGATGTGATTTGTTCGTCGCAGAGGGAAAAACCATGTGGAAATTTACAGTTGCTGCAGTTTTTCTGCTGATTGTGGGATGCTCGGATGGTCAGAGGACTTTCCTGGATGCTTTTCTGGTGCCGTTCAGGAAGTTCAAGGTTGCGTCTACTAGGTTATTGGATAGTAGTATAAACTTTGATGAGTTGCGAAGACGTAATGTAAGTAGTTGAATTTTGTTTGGATTTGAGTCTAATTGATTTTTGTTGTTGCAGAAATTGCAACCGGAAATTAGTGAAGATGTGCCATTTCCTTGCGATTTGAGGGGAGCGAGAAGTGCTGTGCGTCCGAAGAGTGTGCATCAGTTGAGACCTGGGGATATTGATGTGGTAGGAGCTATTGGAGACAGTTTGACTGCGGGATTCGGGCTTCTGGCTACTACTCTTCCTCAAGTATTTCTGGAAAATCGAGGATTATCCTTCAGTATAGGTAAATATACAATTATTAACCATATTTAGATGCATTTCATGAGTTTTCACATTGTTTTATAAGTTGAGTACACATAAATTTAATGAATTTAATTATGTGCATACTTGTAATTACAACTACTTTTTTACGTTATTTTTTAAAACAATTTATGGTCGTTATATAAAAAGAATTCAAATTTATTAATTATTTTTTTTTCAAAAATACTCATAAATAAAAATAAACAATAAATTTACATATATTTTTATATGTTATGCAATAGAATTTTTATAGATTTTGTTTTATTTATTTGAACGTTAATCTAAAGTATAAGTGTATTTACTTAAAGTTAAAAGTTTAATGATAATTTTTGAAAATATTGAATGATAATATATTTTAATTTGAATTAATTGTTGAAAAACTTAAATTTTCTATCTTAGATACTTTGAAAATTGCGAATTGTAGTTTTTATATTTAATATTTTGCTTAGAGGAGAGACATTTCTGTGTCGACCTTTAAAGTTGTGCCCTTTAACATTTATATTACTGAGGTCAAATATACTGAATAAGAATTATAAATGAATATACTAAGATATTAATTGTTGATTGTAAATACATTTATATTATTGTTATTTTACTATTTTTTTTATAGATTAATGTAATGTGTTAATTGTATATTAAATTATAAAAAAAATATACTTTGACAAACAAATTTGTACAATTTAAAATAATTTATGGGGAGTTTCATTGCTCATGGATATCATACGATTTGATACGATACGAATTATTAGTTGTATATTTAAAAACATGTTTGCTGAATTTAAATTTTTTATTAATTATAATAAAATGTTTAAATTACTTTGAAAATGTAAATCTGCAAAACGGTTTTTTTAATGCAAAAATAGTAGGGAATTAAAGAACATTATAAGAAATGAATATTTAATCTTTAGATTTTGATTGTTATGTAAGTGTACAAATAACATATATAGGTTTTATAACATGTAAGTCTAGAACTGCATATAGTGATTCTATGCGATGATAAAATTATGGAATTGTTATGAAATGTACGTAGTTATAATAGTACGTTTTAGGTGACCCGTACTATTAACTTACAAATAAATCACTGAGGTGCATGATTCTTCGTAATCAATGGTTAGTTTTCAAGAAATACATATATTTCTACAACTAATTAGAAACAAAATTGTAATGATCTAATTTAAATATGTTCAATATGTGATGAAACGACATAACCAATGGATGCGTGGTGGATTTTTGCGTAGGCGCAGGAGGCGCGTATTAGACCTTTTAATCAGTGGTTCCCAACCTTTTTTGTGACATTCCATTCCAAAATTCATATGTCCCCTACGTAACATATACATAACACGCCATACGGTTAAACTCTAGATTTGTATATTTTCGAATTGCCTCCCTTATGAAACAAATTGCCTCACGTTGGGAAACAGTGTTTTAAATCAATCTTAAACCTTAATTTGGCTCTTGAAGAACTATGGCCTCCTCAAATACTAAATCCGCCAATGAGAACAATATTCAGAATAATGATTTTTATGCTATTATGTGATAGTTCAAACGATGAATCGTTCATTGAACTCTAGTATTCACGATCTTCCAATTAAAATAATTACCTAGAATAGCATGACCATAGTCAATCAATTTTATGATCTCTAGTCGTAAATTAAACTTTGCCAATACAAAATTGTATGAAACTGTATAATATATATTGCATTTAATTTAATAACTCTCTTTAAAAATAAATATGAACATTAGTTTTTTATGGATTCTTATACATCAATTGCAATGATTTGAAATTAAACTTATATAATAATATTTATTGCAGCAATTGTATAAGAAATATGTATTAAACAAAAAAAAGCATATCAACTAATATCTATATAAGATTCGTATTCAAATCACAGTCGGTTACAAACAAAAGGATATTGTGTTCGACCTCTTCGTACGTAATAAATCATTCATGATTCTTCGCTTTGTGACGTTGCTATTCAATTTCCAGTACATTCCATAAATCTAAAATCCATATAGAATGCAGTTTAATAGTTTTAAATATTATATAATACTATGAAAAGTGATCAATAATCCGTACTGTTGGAAACGTATTAATAAGTAACTAAAAGTTGTATAGGAAAAAAAAAACGATTAATGTTTAAAAAAAACTTTCTTTACAGCAATTTTTGTATTTTATTTTACTCAATTAAAATTTAGTTTCTATATGAAAATATGAAAACTGAACTAAAGTAAATCAGAACATATCGAAACCGGACTATACGAGACAATGTTGATAATTATAGTTTAATTGAATATATAAAAATTTAAAATTATGTAAGAGAAGTATTGTTACATATTTGAAATGTAGATTTATATTATTAAACATAGATGGAAACACAATGTATTAATTTATTTAAAATACTACAAGAATAATTAATAAAATAATAATTCAATATTTTATAGTTTTTAAAAATAGTTACTTGGTAATTTCAATAGACCATAAGACGAATCAGTTTATATAGAAAAATCGACTGAACATTGTCCAAAAGTAATAAATATTCTTTCCAAAAATAGTTCCATAAATTTACGTCTTATTATTGGTAATTTCTTTCACTTGCAAAATTTTATTCAGAAGTAAAAATGACTCTCTTATACAAGAAAAACCATAGTAAAAGAAAATATTTTTTAATTAATATATTTAACTTTACATTAGCTAATCTATCACTAATTTGTGATAAATATGTAATCAACACGTTAAAATTTCGTAATTAAAACCGATATAAATTAATACGTAAAGAAAAGTACATGCAAATTAACAAATAATGTCCAATTGCATAATTCAAATGCATTAAAAGTATAAAATTAATGGATCTAATAAAATCTAGTAATAAATTTTGAAAACATATGAAGGTGTTTTTGTGCCATTAAAACGCATAATATTTGCATCGCATTTAACAAACGTCAGTTTCCATGATTTATATATAAAAAAAAATATAAATATGCATACACTAAATTGTGTAACGTCCGCAAATTATGTCCTTTCTTTATGATATAGATAAATAATTATTACTTAGAGAACTTTGGATATTCCTATAAAAATTCTTGCAATGCATTAAAATATTTTAACGACGACCTCGATTATGCAAGAAATAAACAATAAAAGAAGAATCGTAAAATTTCATTGTTCTTACAATTATTTTTATTTATACGTATAAATTCTTCATTTTTTTTATTAGTTAGTAGCAGATGTGAATGAATTACTTTTTTTTTATGTATTGTTTCGTGTTAAATTTAATGGATGTTTTATTCAACGGTGAAGTTAGTTGTTAGTATTCAAAGCACGTATAGTTGATATTGTTTTTGTTCTTTTTCTTGTTGTGAATTTCCGTGTAATGTTAATTTAAGTATATCGAAGATTACGACACCGATCGTTGCAACTTGATAAGCTTCTACGTGACATTTATTAGGATCAAATAGTTTAAATAGAATTGCGGTACTAGAACAAATATAATTTCGGTTCTCGAATAAGTAGAATTTCGGTTCACGAACAAGTAGAATTTTGGTTCTTGAAGAAGAATTTTGGATCTCGAACAAGTAGAATTTCGGTACTCGAAAACCTGGTTTCTTAACTATAGATACAACATAAAAAAGCAATAATCTAAATATTAAGAGTATCGTCGAATTTCGGTACTCGAACAAGTATATTTTCGGTTCTCGAACAAGTAGAATCTCGGTTCTCCAACAAGAAGAATTTCGGTTCTCCAACAAGTATAATTTCGGTTTTCCATCAAGTAGAATTTCGTTACTCGAATACCTCGTTTCTTAACTATAGATGCAACATAAAAATGCAATAATCTAAATATTGCAAGTATTGTCGAATTTCGTTTCTCAAACATCTCGTTTTCTAAATATAAATATAAATACAAAATAAACAATCATCTAGTTTAGCATTACTAAACATTAAATATATCGTAGAACTTCGGTTCTCGAACAAGTATAATTTCGGTTCTCGAACAAATAGAATCTCTGTTCTCCAACAACTGGTTTCCTAAATATAAATACCAAAAAACAAATATTCTTTCATCTAACATAATTTCGGTTTCCGAACAGACTTTATTTTCCTGAAAAAATATACACATTTTCTTGGATAAATGAATTATTTTTATAAAGGATTAAACCATTTTGATATTGATAGTGGATATTTTTTTCAAACAATTCAGTACTCGAACAAATATTTATTCTCAATTTAAAACTCTGCTCCGAAAACTCAATTATCAGAAAGAATAAGAAAAAAAGGTGAAAAAACTAATTTCGGCTTCTATTAAATAATTAATGAATATTCTAAGTTATGCAAAAAATGTGTAACTTTTACTTCGAAAACATAAAATGGGTAATTTTCTATTATGAAATTAAATTCTAAAATATTAATATGAAATAAAACACCGTGTGGTGTTTATAGTCTTCACGCTAGATTTTATAGAAAGTTAGGCAACATGTGTCTTGGATAGTACGTTTTAGGTGACCCGTACTATTAACTTACAAATAAATCACCGAGGTGAATGATTCTTCGTGATCAATGGACAGTTTCCAAGAAATACATATATTTCTACAACTAATTAGAAACAAAATTGTAATTTGGGAATGATTTAATTTAAATATGTTCAATCCGGTTTTCCGAAATAGCATATGTCTAATGAAATCACTTTCTAAACCCATAACATTCCGCATGTAAATTGCATCGCATTATTGTTATGTAAACAACGTAGGTGGAGTTGGCACGTGGCGACAGTACATCACCGTTCCGAATCTTCTGAAGGTGTTCAATCCCAATTTAGTCGGTTTCTCTACAACTTACTCTTCGATCACGACGCAGCGATCATCTCAATTCAACGTGGCGGAAGGTGGTGCCGTTTCTCAAGATACACCTTACATGGCTAAGGTTCTTGTCACCAGAATCTTGTACGATCCTAGGATTGACAGAAACAATGATTGGAAAGTACGCAATTGATTGACAATCTGTCAAATTTTATTTTGTGTATATCGTAGTAACTGTAGTACTGATTTCAGTTAATAACCATTATGATTGGTCCCAATGATTTCTGCAGCCGAATTTGCCGATCTTCAAACATGGAGCAAGAACTTTCCAAGCATGAAGATCATATTGTGCAAGTGTTAAGGACAATCAGGGATAATTTACCAAGAACTATAGTTAATTTAATACCATCTATGGGTAAGACAAAGAAATATGTTTTGTTGACAAATAATAGAATTGTTTTTTTCAGATACTTTTGCTTTGAAGAGGATCAGAAATAAACCAGCGGAATGTTACTTGACACACTCTGCTGAATGCTCTTGTGTCTTCGGTGTACTACATCAGAAGAATAGGGCAAAGTATAGACATTTCATCCAGAGGTGGCAGAATAAGGATGTGGAAATTGCAAGCAGAAAGGAATTTCAAAGAGATGATTTTAGCGTCGTGCCGCAAATTTTGACGATTAACATGAGCATTCCTTTGAAAACCGATAATGATTTTGATCTCTCCTACCTCTCTGCAGATTGCTTCCACTTCAGCCAAAAAGGGGGCGCTATACGTAATAATTCATATCAATCATTTTACACAGTCTTAACTTAACATTCATTTTCATATTCATTTTTTGTACTTTAAGCGAATGTACGTAAATCCAATGATACATTCTCATACAAATAAATGAATTTATAATACACAGTGTGTCAAGAGACACAAACATAATAACATCATTATACGTCCGTACAAATATGAGTATGTTAATTCGATCATTAGTACGTATTATCGAAATACGTTTAAGAGATGTTCGTTAAGTTAACAATGACTTTACTGACCTTGAATATTAATTCACATAGACTAAAAATAGGATTATTGCATTACTTTCTTTTTATTATGATACATAATTTTTTGCTAATCGAAATGTCAACTGTCAAAAATGTCAACGCAAACTGTTACTGACTGTAATTTAATAACAAAATCATTATTTATTGACATAATTTCTTTAATCCATATTTACGAGCGTTCAAATAAAATAAAAAATAATATTACAAATTATCATCGCATTTAATCGAAGTTAAAAAAAAATAGAAAGTTGTTTAATGTTGACAATCGAAACGTCAACTGTCATCTGTCAAAAGATTTATAAATTCAACGAACACGTGTTATTTATAAATGCGAGTATTATTGATTGTACATATGAAATCATTGTACGTCAATTCGGGTATTTGTACGTATTATCGAACTGCATTTAAAGGATGTAGGTTAAGTGAGCACCAACTTTATTTTAACTAATATATATTACATTTGACGTCATCAGTCTTAAATTATCTTCAGTTAATGATGATTCATAAGTTGAGATAGAAAAATATTGAAAGATTTATGGTCATTTCCATATAATAAGTAAATTGGGTCATCAAGAATTGATTGAATAATACAGATATAGCAATTCCTTGCATAGTTTCGCTTCGATCAGTGCGGATTCACTATTGTACGGTTTGTAATTTTGAAAACTAACAAAAAATTTAATTTAAAATAAAAGTAAATTCTATAAAAGTTGTCTCCTATTTTCATACTGTTTTAAAGTCCTCGATTAGTCCGGTTTCAAACATTGGCGGAAATCATTACCTATGTATTGCTATAAATATAATTATAGAATTACAAAACCAATAAATATAGATGACTTTTTTTTATAGTTGCTTAAGTCTTAACAGTTTATGTATAATTAAACTAAATACGGTTGAATGATTTTGCGGTTTATGACTAATTCTAAAAAAAATCAATTTCTACAACTATTAATCAATTTCTTTATAAAATTGTTGTAAAATATTCAATATATGTATGAATTTAATCTTTTTTTTAATTACAGTGGCTTTGGGTATTTGGAATGGGATGTTGCAGCCAGTAGGAAGGAAAACTCCAATCATGAATTATCATAATTTCACGGACATCCGATGTCCTGACGAAAGTAATCCTTACATCTTCACGCTTGGCAACAGCTGATATTCAAATATATAGAATCAATTAAAATGAAAATTTCTAAATAAAAAAAAATAACAATTAAGTAATAAAATTAATTAATTATATTTATATCTGCGAACGGAGTTTTGCAAAATAAAAATAGGAAGAAAGTCCCGAAAAATGATGTAAATTTGACGTCAGTCGAAATATTTTGTAACGCACATTTGAATATCTGTAAAAGGTATCTGGACATGATGAAATTAATTGAAATCCAATAATTACGACATTTTCAATTAACGATCAAATGTGATATTTATTTTGGAACTTAAACTTTTGTTTTGAATAAATGTAATGAATTTAACTGTTTTCGAGTTACTTGGTACATGAGACTAGACAAGTAATTTATAATTGATTACTTCTACAAGTGTTCTAATAAAACTATGCGTTACTTGTCAAGTAAAGCACTTACCAAGCCTGATTTATAAATTAATTATAAAGAAAATTTGAAAAATTGTATTTATATATAAGATAATCAAAGAAAACTTATAGTATTGGATTATATTTATTAAAGAAATATTTTAATTTTTCTTGAAATTTATATTGTAATATATGGATTCTTTTATTAATGCTTAAAAATTAATTTGCAAAACAAATAATAAATGTATGTCACCAATGACAAATAAATTAAGTTTAATAAAAAAAATGATGAAATTGATGTGATATTTGCATATTGGGTCACAATGCAATAGTGCGTTCAAAACTTTTATTGTGGCAAAATATTGTTTTGTCATTTCCATTAATCTAATTTGTCCTTGAAACGCGAAGATCAATAATAATATATTTTTGAGAATTCTATATCGCAATCCCGACAACCAAAAGACCGTCTATTGAAATCCCGACGTTCAAAATCCCGACTGTATTAAAGTTCCGACACTTAAAATCCCGACTATGTCAAAATTTCGATTACCATAATCCCGACAATCAAAATCCTGACTATATCGAAATCCCGACTACCATAATCTCGACAATGAAAATCCCGACTATATCAAAATCCCGACTACCATAAAAATGTTATTGCAGAAATTTATAATAATAAAAGACACTGTCGGGATTTCGATATAGTCGGGATATTATAACAATATTTCTATTCTTTAATAAAATCTTCATAAATCAGTTGAAAAATTGAATAAAAAGTTTATTTTTTGTTAGTGAATGTTTCTTATAAATGTATATATTAACATAGAGCAATAAACCGTTATTTTCTCGTAATAAAAATTTACACTTCCTTACGTAACTTTTGAAATAAAACAAGTAATTAAATTGAAGAATGACAAAGACCAGTTTAAAACAATATCATAATTTAAGACACGCTCAAGAAACAAAAACTAACTCATTTTCCTCGTTCGCACAACAGACTAATATAAACCAAGGTCATTTTGTTATAAAAAATCAAGTTTTTTTTTATAGTAGCTTTCTTTTAAATTTAAAGTTTCGCATAATTATGTTTTTTCATATTAATATATTTGTTTATTTATGGAAAAGTTTAATTAGATTAATTTAAAATTAATTTGATCAAATTAGGTTAGGTGAGGTAATGGATGCTTCGGTAAGTACCTGCACTTCCTAGTGGATAGTTCAAGAAGCCGGATTCAAAATGTTAAAATGCTGCTTCTAAGAAGAAGTTGACAGCCCGTAGCATTATTTATGCAGATGCTGCACGTGGGTGTTTTGGTAAGTATCTACACTTCAAAATGGACAGTACAAGAAGGAGCATCCAAAATACTGCTCTTCTGAAAAAGATGACAACCCGTAGCAATCTTTCTACAGATACTGCAGGTAGATGTTTTGGAAAGTACATGTACTTCATAATGGACCGTACAAGAAGGAGCATACAAAATGCTGATCATTAGTGATTAGTACTTGCACTTCAAAGTGCATAGACCAAGAAGGTGGATGCAAAATGTTTATATAGTGAAGAAGATGACAGCCCAAAGTATTATTTCTTGAAATGTTGCAGTTGAGTTAAGAAAAAGCACGAGATGGAAGAATGGGGATTGCTAGAACCAGAAACTTTCATTGGTTCAATGTTAAAGAACGCAGAGATGGTACATACAAGACATGTTTTAAGGATGATCTTCGCTAAGTGAGAAATACCAGATTCCCAATCCTGGATGTTGATGAAGAAGCTGAGAGGTATGCGTATCTAGGAATCATAGAGTACCACGACTTCATCCCTGGTCCAAAATTAGGTGAGTTTACTTTAGATTGGTTAAACAACATATAGGTTAGGTAGAACAGAGGTCGGAAATTCGCGGCTCTGAAGCCACATGCGGCTCTTTTGATGAGAAATGTTGGCTCTAAACTATCAAAGCCATGGATATGTTATAAAATTCTTGTCACTCGTATAAATAAAGATTGTAATACTACGTATAGCTTCTAAGACTAAGAAATATCTTAAAAATTATCATTTGTTCCAAAAATATTGCCGTAAAATATTAAGTAAAAAAAATAAATTAAAAATAGATCAAATTCTGAAATTTTTATATGTGCCCTTCAGTAAAATGTATAATTCTGCATAATACAATAGGTATTTTGGTGAACAGCTAATAATTTAGTTGAAACGAAATAACATTAGCATAAATTACTCAAAATTAGTGAATAATACATTTTAATTACTTAATATAAATAAAAAAAAAATACTGGGTTTTATAATATTTGTTTTGTACCAACAAATTTTTTTTTTTATGATTATTACTCAAAATATGTATATTAAATATACGAATGGCACGAATTGTGAAGTCGTCTTAATACGTATTGCGAAATATTTGGTCCTGTCTACGATTTCTGCAATTCGCTTATCAGGTTGGTGACTTTTTGGTGGATAGGTGAAAGTGTTTGGGAAGGTTGTCCGTTGTTCCTTCCACTCCAGCACCGTATTTTTGGCCCCACTAAATGACTTCTCCCGTCAACGACGTCCCGATGTGCAACCACATGGAATTTTTTCCAAATCATTAGTCAACAAATCAACCTGAACCGACCAGGTCGTAACGCACACGTTCCTTAAATTATTATGTAAAGACATTTACTAACATCCTCAAGCACTTGTATATATATATATAGAGAAATATTATTTTTGATCGGGGTGAGCGATACTTTAGATTGATTGGATTGCGTTAGGTAAGTGTTTGCCGTAGAAAATGTCGGGTGCAAAAGGTGTAGTGTGTTTGATGATCCTCGTCGTCCTGTCTCGAGTGGCAAAAGATGTCCGCGGTCAGAGTGGTTCCTTGTTTGCACAAACGTACAGAGACCTCTTCCTTCGAGCCCAACGGGTAAGTCCATGGCGTAATACTCCGTGCCGGCAAAAGCTCTGCATTTCAATTTCGTTTGGAAGAAAGTGAAACTCTTTTTTTGTCTTTCTTTGTTTTGTTTCTGCGTTTTGCCGACTGCATACCAAATCGATGGACAAATTAAAGGAATTAGTGAAATTATTATTGCTATGAGCATTGTGTGGTAATTAGTTTCAAGCGGAGCGAGGCTTTCGTTTCGTATTTGGCGCGCATACAATTTTCATAACAGCAATGACAAACATTATTAATTTAAACTGCATCAATGCATTTTTATTACATGCTTAATTTAAATATTTTTTAGTAAAAACGATCAATTCTAGAACAATTATTGATAAAACAAACTTTTTATGTAATTTGTAGAATAACAATAATTTAAAATTCTTATTTTATAATTTTTTTAACTACTTTGAAAAAATCATAAATACTTATATTTTTGTCTTACAAATTATATATTAAATACAAACAAATTATATAAAGTTTACTTTTTCTAATTACTTTAATTGTTGTAATATTATAAAAATATAATCATTTTTGAATGAAAATCTGGAATTTAAAGATAATTCTTTGATACCATTGATTATTGATATTATACTACAAACAAATATTTTATACTTGCATAGTCCGGCTTCGATCACTCCGGATTCACTATTAACCGGTTTTGAAAATTTCAAAAGAAACAAAATTTAAAATGATCAAAATAAAAATAAATTCTAAAAAACTATTACAGATAATTATTTTTTTCGCTGTCAAGTCACTTTTTATGCGGGTTTGTAGTCTTCAATTAATCCGGTTCCACATAGTCCGAGATATTGGAGAAACCGTTTATCCGGACTATGCGAGGTATTGCTGTATATTATTATTTTTTCTTATAAAAATGTTTTCCAAAACTATGAATGAAATATTAAACAAACATCGTTAATAGTTTATACTCATAAATTAATAATTTTAAAATATTTCAGCATTTATGTGAAAATAAAGATTATATTTTTGAAATATTTGAAAACAGAATAATTCAATAAAAACAATTTATTAGTAATACTCATAAATTGTAAATATGTACATTAATATGTTACAATATTCAAGAAAGTACTTTTATTTAATTTTTTAATTATTTTGTTTCATGACTATAAAAAAAATTGAAATAAATTTGTTAAAATTTAAAACAAAAATGTTTAAATATAAAAAAAACCCATTTGATTTATGACAGAATCTATTAATCAATTAACAAATTATCTAAAAAAAAAACTGAATTAATAAATTAAAATATGCATGCAAAAAAATATTTGTTTCTATTTCAACACTATAACAAAATTGTAGACATTTTAAATAAATATAAAACAGAAGAAACAATCTTTTGTTTTATCTATGAGTTACAATGAGTTAATATGTTAAAATATGCGAGAATTAAGATTTTAGAAATAATCCATAAACAAAACAAATTTTTTTATTTAATTTATATATTTACAACTTTGTTTTTCAAGGTGATAGTTTTCTATTTTAACGATTTGTTAATATTGTTAATATTTTGAATTATTAAATATATTAAAATTAAATTAGTGACTCTGGACTGATATTTTCATAATCGGACGTTTTTGTGTTGAAAATTAATCTGATTTATTTTTTTTTTTTTTTTTTT